ACCCACCCCCTAACCCCTACCCTACCTCCCGCCTCACCCGCCCAACCTCCACTCAGGACATGACCCCACTTGACCATCCCAGACCACATCCAATATACCTACGACAGACTAAGGGGAATCACTAACACACACAAGGTAACAGACCAAGCTAGACAAAGACACTCTACAACTATAAGCGCACTAATATGATGGATAAACAAATAGGAACAATGATTGTAACAATTTAACTAATACAATAAAAGAAATATGAATAAGGGGGTACCAACTCCAGCGAGTAGAACCTGGGGATTATCTTGGTATATACGACAATGTTGCGTCCACCTAGCACGTTCGCATCCAACTCTTGTCAACCCTTGTTGACCCTTATCAGGGTTGTTCCTTTTGTCCGCACATGCACGTCCCACTAAGCGCTAATAGCCACAGTCCCTAACCTGGACTTTCGACTTGGTGTATTCCGTATGTTGAGAAACCTAACGCACTGCCCTTGTTCCTGCCAGCTGGAATGCTCTACTGCTTTTGCGCGTGCACTTCCCTCCCGCCACCAAACGGCCACAAAAATGCTACCTGTAACACACAAAACACACCATGGGACCAAGAAAAATAAAGGAATGCAGAGCTGACAACGTCACCACTAATGAACATGGGTTTGGTGTTGGCCCAATTGGTGTCACCGGGCCGGAGAACACCGGTGGGGAAGAGACACAGCATGCATAGAAAGAAGAAGAAAAGAAGAAAGAAGGAGAAAAAAAGAACACGGGAGAGGGTTGGGCTGCAACCGGACTAAACAGAAGAAGAAAGAAAAGACGATGCCGGCACGGGGACAAGTCACCGGAAAAAATGGCTACTTCTAGGGTTAAAGGGAGAAGAAGAAGAAAAAGTGAAAAAATGAAAAAGAGACAAGGGGGAGAGAGAGAATAGAGAGAGGAGAGAAATGGATAGGGTCGGGGTCACTTACCTGGTCGCCGTCGTCGGAGGGTTCACCGACAGAAGTAACGGTCGACAATTGAGGAGATTTTTTCCATGTTGACGTACGTACGCCGGAGGCAACGCCAACTTGTAGACAATAATGCTATCGAAGCTCAGGAGATTGTGATTAAGGACTCGTTTGTCCATTTAAAAAATCCTTTTTTCGATTTTGTTTCAAAAATATGTTTGTCCATAAAATGCCACGACCCGGATTTCCCACCCTCAAGAGTCATGATGGCGCCTACTAATGAGAGATAGGCAAACCAACCCTTAACTATCTAATTCCTTACCAAATTACTTCCTTTTAACAATTACAAGCAATAATATAAAAACAGCAGAACTTAAATAATTAAGCTGAAGATAACCATGAAATATTTGAAGGCTACGTCTATTACAACTTTTAATACCTCAAATTCCCCAAAACCTGGTGTCACAGTGTCACAGACTGTCTAAAAGTTTCTACATACAAGGTCTGAAGAAATGCAATAAACTGTTTCTGAACAAAGGAATTGAAACAGGAAATAGAGATAGAGGGAGACGCCAGGGCCTACGGACGCCTACAGTTCTACCTTGGGTCTCCGAGTGGACTAAAGAAAGCCCTCCAACTACTGTCCGAAAATTGCTCCGGGATTTGCACATAGTGCAGAGTGTAGTATTACCATAACCGACCTCATGTGCTGGTAAGTGCCTGGCCTAATACCGGCGAGGTAGTGACGAGGCTAGGACCAAACTCCAGATAAACCTGTGCAGTTATATAACATATGGCGGAAAGTAACAAGTAATAAGCAATTAAAGCTGGGGAAGGGAAACATGCTTCAGGGGTAGCTGACAAAATAAAATAACAAGAAATAACAAGGAAGCTAACAATATAACTTCTAACACAGATAAAGAGAAGTAAAGACATCTTTTAGTTTCCATCTTGTTGCAGGCATGCAACCCGATCCCATTTCACTATCTTGTGGTAGGCGTACCATCCGCTCCCATTTCCTTATCTTGTGGTAGGCATACTACCCGCTCCCATTTCATAATCTTGTGGTAGGCGTACCACCCGCTCCCATTTCATAATCTTGTGGTAGGCGTACCACCCGCTCCCATTTCATAGTCTTGTGGTAGGTGTACCACCCGCTCCCATTTCATAATATTGTGGTAGGCGTACAACCCGCACACATTTCATAATCTTGTGGTAAGCGTACCACCCGCTCCCTTTTACAGTTCATGACACAATCAAAAGAAATTTCGGCAAGGGAACCTAAGTGATATAATAACTTCCCGGCAAGGGAACAAAACAATATAACAATTTCCGGCAAGGGAACAAAATAATATAACAATTTCCCAGCAAGGGAACAACGATATCGAAATAGTCATCCTGGCAAGGGAGAATCAGCTATAACCAATCTCACTTAGCTGGTACTCAGTTCAATTAATGGAAATGCTCAATCATAGAAGATAATTAATTAAAGCATACAAAGTGTCATTCAAGAACACAACAACTTTCAATTTAAGACCCACGGTCATGCTTGACACCAACGTATAGATACTCATCACCATGCCTATACATTGTACTCAACAAGAAGCAAGTAGCAAGTATGACTCAACTCTTAATCCCTCAAGCTAGGGTTAGACCAAACACTTACCTCGATGCCTTGAACACCNGCTAAATGAATCAACCCCAATGCATGAAAATGAGTTTTCCAAAGTTTTACCTAAAAGTCAAAAATCACCCCCGGGCCCACGTGGTCGAAACCCAAGGTTCGGACCAAAACCTGGTTATCCATTCCCCCACATACCCAAATATATTATTTGTTTTGAAATCGGACCTCAAATTGAGGTCCAAATCCCTAATTTTAAAAAAAAAAACTAGGTTCTACCCAAAACACCCAATTTCCCCCATGAAAATCTTTGATTTGAAGTTGAAATCATGTTAAAAGATTTAAATGAGTGAAGAAAATGAGTTAGAAATCACTTACCAATATTTTGGAGAAGAAAGGTTGTTTGAAAAATCGCCTCTTATGTTTTCGGGGTTTTGAAAAGTGAAAAATAACTTAAATTCCCGTTTATTTATACCCCTCTCAGACCCCTTTGTGCGGACCGCATCAAATAGACCGCGGCCGCACAGGCCTCCCTGAAGACCTACAGTTCAGCACCCTGTGCGGACCGCATAAAGCCGACTGTGGCTGCACAGCCTCCACCGCGGACCACACAAAGGCGACTGCGGCCGCGCTGGCCCCTCCGCGGTCGTACGCGATTTCTCGCGGACCGCACTAGAGGGTTCAGAGACTGCAACTTCCTGAACCTGCAACATCTGACTTTCTAAGCCTAAGGCAT